GTGCCCGCTGCTCCGCCATGAGCGCTCCCATTCACATGCTCGGTGCGCCCTCCAAAGTCGAGCCCGCCACGGAGGATATCCAGGCCATAGCCGACAAGGTAGGCGGCCAGGTCCCCCTAGCCCAGGTAGGGTCCCGCCCTGTCCGCACAGGGGCAGCGCCCGCCGGGACGCGGAGGGTGTGGACGCTGGGAGAAGGACCCTGGGCTTGTCCTCAGGCGGTTCCGGTCAGTGAAGCTGGGGAAGGGTCTGCAGGGGTCCTAACTTCCGCCCTGCTTTATTCCAGGGCTCCTTGTGCAAGTAAAACAAAAACAGGCAGAGGCAGAGCCTGGGTCAGACCCTGGGCAGCGCTTAACGTCTGTGCCTCAGTTTCCTCGTCTGTAAAGTGGGCATCACTGGGGGGCCTTCACCAAAGGTTCTGGGGAAGGTGGGATGGTGGGGACACAGGAAGGCTCAGGTTCTGAGAAGACACAAAGTCAAACAAACCTGCTGCTTCACTAACCCCATGGTCGGCAAACTGCGGCTCAAGTGACACAGTGGGCTCCAGAGCCACATTAGGCTCTATGGCTCTTTGAGTGTGGCTCTTCCTAAGCCTTAGGAGTACCCTAATTAAGTTAATTACAATAAACCTACCTATATTGTTTAAGTTTAAAAAATATAGCTCTCAAAAGTAATTTCAATCTTTGTACTGTTGATATTTGGCTCTGTTGACTAATGAGATGGTCTAAACTTTAGACCATCTGACTATAGTAAAGGACGGTGAGTCCGTCCCATGAGACTTTGAAAATGAGGAATGTGTAGGGACTGCGTGGTGAGCCAGTTGGGAAGGTTCCTATCCTACAATACTCCGGAGCCCAGCCTCTCCTGAGGTTCCTGGGTCCCAGGCCTAAGGAATTCCTCACTTGCTGCGTGAACTCTGAATGCCCATCAGCTCAGGAGAGAGGAGTGGCTGTCTGGGGGATCCCTGATGTGGTGCCTGTCACTTGAAAGTGACAAGTAAGAGGGCAGACACCATGGCCTCTGGGAGGCAGTTCTGAGGACGGGGCTTTGCCTGTGGCTCCTAGAGGACAGGGAAGGGGACACCATGTTGCTGCCTGGGGTACTGACTCCTCCCCCAGCTCTCTGGGCTGCAGGTGTGGAGAACAGAGGTCAGAGAGGGAGCCCTGGCCAGAGGATGTCAAAGTCCCAAATTCTGGCTCAGTCTCCTCAAGTAGTGCCCACCAGTCCGACCTTGGCCTTCCCTGGCCCTCTGCAGTGTATTTGGGTTTTCTCACCATTCCTCCTTTCCTGCCTCCACTCCTGAAACAGGCCAAGAGGGAGGCCATTCCTTCCCAGACTCCCGTGTGCGTTTGTGTGTGTCACGCATCCCTGTAGGCTTGTGCCCCGTCTGCAGGGTCAGATCCCTGCGGACCAGACATGGCACCTTGCATGACAGGTAAGCACTGAGACACAGGTAGGCCTGCAGTGAGAACCCTGCCGGCCCCATGCCGAGGGCAGAGGAGGGACAGGAGGGACCTGACTTCTTTCTTCCTGACCCGCCCTCCTGTCAGCTGCTGACTCCATTCTCCCTCCATTCTTATCCCTGGTTAGGGCCCCTCCCTGAAGGCGAAGGCAGGCCACAGGCCTCATACCAGTCACGAGTTTTACATGCATGGTCCTGCATTGGGAGGAATAATCTGTAAAGGGTGGGCCTTAGAGGTCAGTGTGTAACATTTGACATGAGGCCACAGCTCCCGTGTCAGTCACTCTTGCAGGAAGGAAGACACTGAGTTCCCCTCTCTCCTGCCCCCTAGGTGAAGTCCCAGCTGGAGGAGAAGGAAAACAAGAAGTACCCCACTTTCAAGGCCACGGAGTACATGAGCCAGCTGGTTCATGGGACTAACTACTTCATCAAGGTGGAGTGTCCACAATAGGGGTGCTCATGCAGATGTCCTTACAGGGGCCAGGACAGGGGTGCTAGGGGGTTCCTGTAGCCCTGGCTGGTGAGGCTCAATGGATAGAGCGTCAGCCTGCACACCAAAGGGCCTCAGGTTAGATTTCTGGTCAAGGGCGGTTACCTGGGTTGCAGGATGGATCTCTGGCCTCAGTTGGGATGCATGCAGGAGGCAATCAGTCAGTGTATGTCTCCCTCTCTCTTTCTCTCTAAAAAATCAGTAAAAATGGTTTTTTTTGTTTTTTTTTTTTAGGGAGGAAGGGAGAGAGATAGAGTTAGAAACATCGATGAGAGAGAAATATTGATCAGCTGCCTCCTGCACATCCCCCACTGGGGATGTGCCTGCAACCCAGGTACATGCCCTTGACCTGAATCGAATCCGGGCTCCCCCAGTCCGCAGGCCATCGCTCCATCCACTGAGCCAAACCGGTTTCGGCAGTAAAAATGTTTTTAAAATAATAAAATAAAATGAGTGTGCATGCACTCCTGCAGGCTTCCATGGAGGAGAGGACTGAGCCATTTGGGCAACTAAGGGCTCTGAGGAGCGAATGTAGCGTGCCAGGGGTGCTGGCTGGGGTGATGGGCATGTGCTACGCCCGAAAGAGGATGATGGGAATGTCACCATCCTAGTGGCTGATGCCCTGAAGCAGTGGTTCACAACCTTCTGGCTCTTTAAATACAGTTCCTCAT